GTTTGTGACTATGATGTTGATAAGGTATAGGTTCCTTAACTCTAGTGCCTTTTCAGTGTCTTTCAATACGTTGCCATTCTGTCCCATTATACAACAAAAGATTTTCTGGCCCATGGCTGAAAGGACAGAGCGTCTGCCTTGCAATCTGCTCGCGGATTCGAGCCTGCTTAGGGTATCGGAGGAGTCTCGCAGTATCCTTAGCCCACTCTTAACTGGCGGTGATTGCGTGTCAGCGAAGCGTCAGTATTGCCTACCGGCATGCTGTTACTGCTTTTTCTCCCGGTCGCGCAAATAACGCCCGACGCGGGAGTCGTTGTGCTGACATGCGCAACACGTGGTCCGGCTATCGGAGACTGGAGCGTAATTTAACTATGCTGATAACTTCACTCGCTCTTCTTGCACCAAATACGTGACGCCGAGCACATTCATTGCTCACGCGATGTTCCCATCAGACCTGAGCTGAGCTTCGTATGCAGCGTTGATCGTACCTAACAAGCCTTTTTATGTCTGTGGACTTAATGGGCCAGGTTTCGCAACCGTACATGAGGTTTGAGCGGATGGCTGCATTACAAACTCTGTCCTTCATAGCGAGAGTAATGTCAGGACGGCGCTACCAGTGGCAGAGATTAGCAGATGCGCCTCGACGTTTTGCTGTGCGGTTCGTTATTTCATCTTCTATTCCACAGGCGCCAATATAGCTGCCGAAATACTTGCATTTTTAAACGATTTCTAGCTGATCATTGGAGTGGGTCTCCGACAATCTTGGGGGACTTTGCATTTCGAGAGTGCAAAACATAGCACGAAACGGCTGACAGCCGGTGCTAATCATTCCAGTGATGTTTGACACGTTCGTGAGCTGTTACAGGTAGGGGCAATGTTGTTCGCATACTCCAAGTCAAGAAATCACTCACTAAGAAGCAGCTCCACACCTTGCAGTTTTTATTTAGCGAACACTGTTTTCAAGACTTCGTCAGTGGCGAAGTTAAAGAGGAAAGGTTACAGCGGGCAATTTTGCATCACACCGCTGGAGCTATTGAGGGGCACCGAAAGCCTGCCGAACTATGGGCTTAAAGCACTCTTATGACATTCACATTTTTCTCGGGTACACCTTTCCTGAGCAGACAGTCCCAAAAAGCACATCGATCCACAAAATGCAAGGCACCTTTGATGTCTGGGAACAAGACTACATCGGGTCGTCAATAAATGTGTTGGTGTTCCAACAACAGGTAGTTTAATGATGTGGTCAATGCAGCTTCGATTTCGACTAACCCCTGCTTGCTCCTCGCACATCTGGCTTTCACGAGTGCCAGTCAGTCTCTGGAGTACGACAGTGGCAAGGAACTTAGAGTCACTTGACATCAGACTGATTCCTCTATGATTGCTGCATTCCGATCGTAATCCCCCTTCGAAATGGGGATGTAACGGAGCAGCTCCGGATTTTTGTGACAGTCTCCCGCTCCCACCGCTTCACTAGTGAGTTGTGTAAATCATCCACGAGAACTTGTCTCCCGAGTTTGAAAGTGGCTGGTGGAAGTCTATCTGCTCCTGCGGCCTTATGCAATTTCCTAAGTCCGATCTCACGTGCGACTTCTGTGCGTGAGGGTGGATCCGAGGGTACGGCCCAGGAAGAAGGGCAATCAATGCCCGATAGAGGATGTGATCACTCTGAATAATTTAACTGCTTCTCAAAGCAGAAGCTTCGTTTGAGCGACCATACCATGCGCAGTCAGTTTCGGTACAGTCTATTCGTGTTATCCACTGACGTATGTGTACGCGTAGGATCTTCACAGTAGGTGTGGGATGTAGCAGTTTGCCTTCACCACTCTTCCCTTGGCTCACGAATACTGACTTGGATGGGTTGACCGGGAAGCGGACTTTTGCAGACTACATGAAATGGCATTTTTGTTGTTTTGCTGGAATGGTCCGCAGTCCTCGGATGTGGTTATCACTCTCCACATCTTCAGGTCGTTTGCAACCAAGGCACACGGCGATCGAAGAAGCTGGTGTAGATCGTTCATATAATTCAGGGACAATGTGGGCCACAGCACCTTGTCTTGTGACACGTCACTAGTCAAAGCATACCAGTTGGTCAGATGGGTATCGAGAAAGTCCTGGATACACTGGTTCAGTGATCCACCAACATCACACACTCCCAGCTTGAGAAGGAGGCGAACCTCATGGTTCACCTTATTGAATGCTTTACTGAAATCGATCTTGGTCACGTCGGTACACTTTCCCTGTTTCACTGCTTGGAACCATTCATGCCTCCGCACGAACAAGTTGATGATGTTTGAACTGCATGGCATGAACCCGTGGTGTTCGGACATCAGGAGATCTTTTGACCGGAACGGCTGTAACAAGTTCTCCGCAATCTTCTCTTTCAGTCTTGGACAATATATGGCTCAACCAAGTTGACTTGTAATTATCTCCTTTGCTGGGGTCACGGCCATTCGGCATCGATCTTATTACCGATCGTCTCCAATCAATCAGCAATGAACCTTCGGATAGCGACCTGTTGAGTTTGTCCTTTACGACAGGCGACATAATGCCGAGAGGGACTTGAGAATCAGGGAGTGGAGCCCGTCAGGTCCAGCAGGCTTGATGCCGTCTTGCTTGGCGTGTAGTTGACACACCTCTTCTATACCACAATCAGAAGTGTCGCGTTCGGTAATTGCGGTGCACGCCGAACTCGGTACAGACATCTGGTCATTTTCCAACCACAGATGTCAATTGCACCTCCAAGGCGGACGCACGCTCAGTTTTGCGGGTTAGAGGCTGTCCGTCGGCTTCAGGCTCTGCTTCACCTACGCGAAGATTTTCTTTGGGACAGTCTGCTGCAGTTACAAGCTGCTCTTCGAAATATTGACGTTTGCTCGCTTTGTCATCATTGCAAATGCTTCGCTGTTTTTATCCACTTTGTAGTCATCAACCGAGCCAGTGAATGAATTTGTCCCCCATCCTGCGCCGTCGCCGAGCCAACTTACCATATTCCTTATCGAACCAGTGTGGCTTCACTGGTCTGACACTTTGGAGACACAAACTTGTTACACAATGAGTTTACTTCTTTGTAACTTCAACAGATGCGAATTACTGCAGAAACCAATTTATTTGGCTTGCAGCTCGAGTCAGGCCGTCAAAATTTGCCTTTCATTGATTATAATCTGGCTGCAGTTCATTGGATTGCTGCATCAGCAGCTCCATGTTGGAAATACGAACTGAGTGATCGTTTACTTCCCGATGTTTCAGGATGTGCATGTCATACATGTGTTGTTCACACATTGTTACCATCAAATCGAATCACGACGGAGTTGAGCGCGGTGTTACGCGCGTCGGTTGGCATGTGTTTTGTGTCGCCCCAATTTCAAGCACTAAATCAGTGAACTTTGCTCCAACTTCACGATATCTGGTGATGTTGAACTTCAGACCAGTGCATTCGAGGGTAATTAAAATCGTCCCTGAGTAGGAATGACGGTGACTCATCTATTCCAGAAGATACGGCAGCCAGTCCAAACAACGGCTCAGGGGACTGCGATAAAATGCACCCACGAGTAGCTCCCGGCGCCTGAGGTGGATCGAACACCACAACTGCTCACAAAGACTATCTTCGCTTTGGTGGGCTCCCACCAGTCTCCCACACAGTGAAGACCGAATGTAGAGCAAGACGTCACCGTAGGCATTCGTTAGCTTATCACAGTGGAAACACGGGTAGCTACTAAGCGCAACTTCATGGGTAAGTTACTACCTCACCGGAAAGCAACGATACGACACAGGTCATCTCGGTTGTTCATGAGACGGCAGACGTCAGTAAAGGCTATACGCAAGCCATAGTAGGAACTATCGGGCGTGTCTGTAGAGTGAGCGACCGATTTATCTGAATTCGCCTTCGCGTTGTAACCACCCGAAAAGCTACAATACGTAAGTTTGTTTCCCTCACCGGCTCGCAGCTTTAGCTCGATGGTGACACACTTAAGACCCTTCCGGTCAGCTAAATCTTTATCCGCACGAATATACACTCTCTCACCTCTCAATATACTCAATCGAGACAATATTAGCTTCGGGCTGGTCTCGTCGGCAAAAGTTACCGGCATAAGTTGGTCCTACTTATCAGTGTTTTAACGAGGCGGATGACTTGTTTCACTTTCGCTCCGTTCTCACCCAAATTGAGAAGCCTATAAAACTACCTCATGGTCATAACGCGCCTGAAAACTTGAATCGTTGGACTCAGGCGCGTGAAAAAGCAACAGATTTGATCGCCTCGTATCATTTGAAGTGGTTGTTGCGAAAAGAGGGTGGTCTCGAGCTCTGCCTAACTTGGCCTGTTGTTGATCAGTAGCAGGAAGCTTCTGTTTGTCTCACAGATTCTTCCGTCGTTGAGCTTTCCATGGCTCCCCAACCACTAAACGTACATCTGGGTCTTTAAAGCTAGTAGAACTCAAAGTCAGTATATCATTAGCTTCAGTTGGTTTCGTGCCTCTGGAAACATTAGAATGGCTAGCTAATGAGTTTTCTGAGGGAGGAGCATGGGCGGAAGGCTGGATTGAACCTTGGATGAAATCTACGTCAGTTTGCGGGATAATATGACTGACTAGAACTGTTCATAGTTAAATGCTTTCCGTCGCGATCTGCATCGGTAGACTTTACACGTTTCTCTGGCTGCCTTAGACTGCGACAATCATTACATAACACTTGTATGAAATCACGCTGAATAGAACGTAAAAGACGATAGGAATCGGCAAGTAATCCAAAACATAAAATATGCAATCGTGCGGAACAATCAAAGCACGAGCGGGTATTTGCCGTCTTTCGAACAACTTTCTATCAGGAACCTCAAGGTAATTTCTTCGGCATTTCTTAAAAGTGATGTCAAATGCGGAAACATACCACCACTTACAACGCCAATACGGTTCATGATGTGTCGGATTCGCGACTCATTCTGTTCCAAATATTTCTCACTTGCTTCCTCATGCTAGCTCAACACTTATTTCAATTATATTTCCTAGGCCTCTATCACGTGCGCCTACTGCGATTCTTCGTCTAACGGCGGCGATTTACGAGCGGTGGACAGGCTGAGGCCTCGTTGCTTCCTCGCCTGTGCTCGTTGTATCCACTTCTCCTGTTGGACGGAAGCCCACCTTAGTCGGCATCGTCAAGATCACTCTGATCATGTACTATGTGAGTCCCACTTTCCTTACTCTGTTTACCTTATTTTTATTTTGCTGTGCCTGACCCTTATTGGATCTTCTTAGGGTTCTTTTTCTAGTTTCTTACAATCCGTTTTGAAGCATTTCATGTTGTATGGTGTTACGTGCAGGCTGCATCTAACACTTACCCCTTTCAGTTACTGTCCCACTAAGTCAGTGGTTCTCAACCTTTTTGAGGCTGTTACCCACAAGGCCCATCCGCTATAAACAATTACTCAAAAAGTGATCAGTCACTAATGTCTAGTCAACTGTGATTAGGTAGTTAATCACGTTTTTATGCAGATGGGTTTGTTAATAATTTTGTTTGGCGATAGATAGGTGACCCAATCATCATACTTACATTTACCTCCCGTAAAATTCCATTTTACCCCCATGTTGAGAACCACTGCACTAAGCAAATCGATCGAACTTCACCTTAAACAAAAATTCAAAGTCTGAATTGAAGTTGTTAGTTGCAAAGCCAGTAATCATCCCCTTGCCGTTACGAGAAACTTCCAAGGTGTTCTCAGCTCTGCTTCTAAGGTGGCTCAGCCTGGTAGGCGAACAGGGCAACGTGAAGAGCAAGCTGGGTTCCGCTCAGGTCGGAGTTGCATCGATCACGTTTTTACACTCCGCCAAATACTCGAGCGTCGTCAAACATTTGGCCGGCCAGCGATCGTTCTCTTCTTAGACATACGAGCCGCGTTTGACTCAGTCGACTGAGCTGCTCTCTGGAGTTGTCTACTGAGAAAGGGAGTGCTCGTGAAGTATATCACCTTACTTCAAGCCATCTACTTCGGGCCGAGTGCGGGTCTACGGCGGACTTTCGCCCCCCTTTGGTATCACTAGTGGCGTGAGACAGGGTTGCCCAGCATCTTCCTTCTTGTTCAATTTCGCTGTAGATGAAATCTTGGAGACTGCTCTGGAGAACTACGGACCCAGCGGCGTGGAGCTGCTTCCGTGGGACCGACTTCGGGATTTGGAGTATACAGACGACATCACCGTAATCTGCGCTTTCTTACAGGCGGCCCAAAATGTTCTGTGTAGGTTGGAGATGTCTGTTTTCCAGTTTGGAATAACCTTCGTACCATCGAAACTCAAGGTTTTCCTGCAGGTCTGGCTAGCTGCTCTTCCCGACCTTACCCTTCTAAGTCATTCATTGGAAGTGATGGACAAGTTCGTTTACCTCGGAAGCCGCCTCAGTGCTAATGGCTTAACGGATGAGGTCTTTTTGCGCGTCTCCATAGCTCGGGTTGCTTTTGCCAATCTCCGCCGTCTCTCTCGTCGAGGTGATCTGAGTCTAGCTCTGTAGGGCCGAGTTTACAATGCCACAGTGAGAGCGGTTCTCCTCTATGGCTGTGAGACTTGACCTGTTCACTTAAAGGATCTTGAGAGACCTTTTTTTAATCACTGCTGCCCTCGGAGCATTTATAGTTTACGATGGTAACATCACACTAGAAATGAAGATATTCGACGAGGGATTTTCAGATCAGACAGACTTTGCCGGCCACTGAGCAGTATAAGTTCTCTGCGCAGACTTCAGCGCTTTGGGCACGTTCTCCGCATGCCTACTCATCGCTTACCTAGCCGTGCCCACTTCGCGTACCCAGAAGTCGGCTGGAAGCGAAAACAAGGTGGCCAACGTATGGCTTGGGTCAGGAGCATGAAGGAGCTAACGTCAAAGTTAGCCGTGGTCGGGCGCTCTCGGCTCCCTGGCAGGAATGTGAAGGACGCGGAACACACATGGCTGGAAACGCTCTTGGATATGACAAGAAATCGTGCACAATGGCCGACTTGTTGTGACTCACTATTCCCATGAACATCGTTTTCCCTCCTCTGTTTTCGTATGTTTATTCTATCTTCCATACGTTGTGGCACTATGCCAATGGTACTATTGGCTGTGCTGAATTTATATACGAGAAGCGCCGTTCGCAGCCCGGCGTCATTTAACAATTACTACATTCATGTTGGGATCCCTGTTTTGTTATCCTTCAACCTGACGACCGTAACGATGTCAGTTCATTCGTTTTCTTTTGCAGCCCTCGATTGTCGCTAAGGGTGACATACATTGACGGGTGCACTTCGTTACAGATTGACCAACTGACAGCACTTTCTTGAACACTTGAAATCCTATTGACCGATATCTGCTGCTTATCGAAACCCGCTTGTATGATACGAGTTCTGTGTCCACCCTGCAATCCTTCACATGCGACACTGGCGGCACATTCTCATCGCACCTGTCTGGCGATGACGCACCTTCAAATGTAGGTCGAGCCGACGCCGGCATTGTTTTGAGTCCCCGGGCTGAAACTGCCCTGATCGATTGAATCCCAATGAACAGTCGGCTGTGTGTCGTCAGATTGGCTGGCTCCTCCAAAGCGTGGAATTCCCACCGGGGCAAACGGTCCCTGTTTATCGTTGCGATCTACGTCCCCACAAACTATATCGCTGGCGCGGTGGAAGCGAAATTCTATCTCCAACCGAACGAGCTCCTTCGTTACGGGGTAACCACGGATACTGTGATGCTTACCGGTAGTCTGAACGCCGAAGTTAGAAAACTGTCCGCTGATGAGATGCATCTGGGCGGCCAACACTCTGTAGGCTTCCGTAATGATAAAGCGGTTGCTACACCTAGATTTACCTAGTGCGAGCTTTCGCGACCAAGCTACCTCCAAATCTGCACTGATGATGTCACCTCAATTAGTGTCGAAACGTTTGCAACCAAAATGCCTAGATCGGCGAACAACTGAGCAACTAAGTGTTCTGTTTTTCTTGATCACTAACTTCCGACACATCAACCACAGAAGTGGGACATGGCACCCACCAGCCTCGGTCCAGCGATGGATGCAAATCGATCACATCGCGATCAGATACCTTTGGAGAGGCTGTGTGCAAAACTGTCACTCCATTTTGAGCATGAGTGTGTGCTCCGACGACGCCTCGCTTCGGTAGACACATGCGGCGACGCTGTGTGCGCATGGACGCCAGTCAGCTGGCGAATGCACATGTTCTGAATGCGTATCAAACTGCGCTGGCGTCCGATCTGGGTAAGTGCTCACTGAACACAGTAGTCACTGGTTGCGCATCCACCAGACGTTATTAGCAGGAGACATGTCTTCATGTGGCAAATCAACTTGCCAGCATGGACATCGGGTTCCTATGCAGTCTGAAAATTATCCATGTCCGCCGACATCTTCCGGCCGAAAGCGAACACATTGCGACCCGCGAAGATCTCAAGGAAAATCTGAGTACTAGCCTAAAGAGTGACTGCGAAGTTTGGTTGTCTCAGCTCCGTTAGAGATAGAAGTGATTGCTGCTGTTGATAATCATTATTCTGACTGATACGGGTAACGGGCATTCGGAGGTCATGTGCGATAGGAGTGGGCAGCCGATCCACAGCTTGTCATAGCGCTTGGAGCGTTCGGCCGAACACTTTGAAAATCAATTTGGCCAATCTGAGTTATCATATTTCTTTTCGGGCATTGATTATCCTTCTGGCAAATGGTCTGAACACTCAAGTTAGCAAACTAACCACTGATAAGGTGCATCTGGGCGGCCAACACGGGGTAGGCTCCCGTAATGATAAGGTGGTTGCTACACCTGTGTGAGGATGCTCTTCTGTTTCTCGCGTCACCAACTTCCGACACAGCACCTGCAGAGGAGTGACACGGTGCCCACCAGCCATGGACGCAAATGGATCACATTGTGATCATCCAAAACTGTCGCACGATTTGGCGTATGCTTATGAACTCCGACCACGCTTCACTTCGGTAAACGCATGCGGAGACGCTGTGCACGCATAGACACCAGTCAGCTGGCGATTGCAAATCTTCTGAAGGCGTATCAGACTGCGCTGGCATCTGAGCCGGGTAATTGCTCACTGAACACAGTTGATGATCACTGGTTGCATATTAGCCACATGATATTAGCATGTAGCATATTTGATTGATAACCTGAACCCTGGGTCTCTGTACAGTCTCTGGAACTTCTGGATGCTCGCCGACGTATTTCGGCTGGAAACGAGCACATCGAGGCTCGCATAGCTCTCAGTGCAACATTCCGTGCTAGCTTGAAGAGAGATCGCAATGCCAGGGGTCTCAACATGTATCGGAGATAGAAGTGGCTGCTACCGTTGGTTTCCATCATAACTTATTCCGTCGGATGCGCGAAATGGATAGCCGGGGACCAGGTGTTAGCGAGACTCTAGGCGACGGGAGTGGACAGCCCATCTACCGCCTCTCCGAAAGCTTGGAGCGTTAGCTTGAACACCGAAAAGCGGTTTCGTTAAGTAAAGTTGCATGCTTCCTTGTCGACCAGTGATCGACCCTCTCCCTTGGTCGTTCCTTTGGATGATCCGCCCTCTGGTTGCTGAAATAGGAAAAGACCTCGGAAGCAAATGGACATCCCCCAGCTTTCTTCGAACTCAGAGGGCCATATCTTGTGGATGATTTGCACAACTCACTAGTAAAGCTGTGGGAGCAAGAGACTGTCCAGGCAGATTGGAACCGTTCCGATGTGGTCCCCATTTTCAAAGAGGGCTTACATTCGGAGTGCGACCATCATAGAGTAAACAGGCTGCTCTCAATTAACTCTAAGTTACTTGTCTCTGTCGTCCTCTATAGACTGCATGGCACACGTGAAAGCCGGATGCGCGGGGGACAAACCGGGTTTTGTCAAAGTCGAGGCTGCATTGACCACATCTTTGCCATACGTCATTTGTTGGAACACCGCTATATTTATTGGTGACCCACCGTAGTCGTGCTCCTAGACATCAAAAGTGCCTTGGATTCGGTGAACCGATGTGCCCTTTGCGACTGTCTGCTCAGGATATGAAAATGTCATCAGAACGCTGTACGCGCCTAGTTCGATTAGAGTGTGGGTTTAGGGCAAACTCTCGCTGCCCTTCAACATCACCAGCGGTGAGATATAGATTCCCCATGTAACCTTTCCTCCTTAACTTCGCCACTGATGAAGCAATGTGTCACGTATGCA